GGGACCGGAAATTAATTTGGGAGGAAGTCCCAAGCGAAATCGCCAATTTCCGGTCGCCACTGAGAATTTCCGGTCGCCTGAAAAGCGTCCGGATTTTTTTTGGGAGGAAGTATTAGGCGATTATAATATTTGAGGGGGTGAGGACGGACCGGAAATTTAACCATGGCGGCCCCTGCAACATTGTACCGGGGCCCCGTGGCCCCACGGGAGCCGAGCATCAAGGCTTCTTCCCCGACCTCTGCGGTCCGGACTTTTTATTCCAGGGGGTTGACCACCGCGAGAGCGCCACCGCTCGCGCCTTTGCTAAGCGTCGACCAAAACAGCGGGCGCCCACGCCGAACAAAGCGCACTCACCATTTAGTTGCAACCACCGCGAGAGCGCCACCGCTCGCGCCTTTGCTAAGCGTCTACCAAAAAAGCGGGCGCCCATGCCGAACAAAGCGCACTCACCATTTAGTTGCAACCACCGCGAGAGCGCCACCGCTCGCGCATTTGCTACGCGTCTGCCTAAAAAGCGGGCGCCCACGCCGAACAAAGCGCACTCACCATTTAATTGCAACCACCCCCTGGATTAAAAAGTCCGGATCGGCACTGCAGGCCCCCTTGCATCGTCGCTCCCCGAGAGGTAAACATGACTGGCAAGAAGTACCAGGCAGAATCGCAACTCTCAAGCAACATAACTGGGACCGGAAATTAATTTGCGAGGAAGTCCCAAGCGAAATCGCCAATTCCGGTCGCCACTGAGAATTTCCGGTCGCCTGAAAAGCGTCCGGAATTTTTTTGGGAGGAAGTATTAGGCGGAATGCGGATTTCCGGTCGTCGCCCCATTTGGCGATTATAGTATTAGAGGGGGTGAGGACGGACCGGAAATTTAACCATGGCGGCCCCTGCAACATTGTACCGGGGCCCCGTGGCCTAACGGGAGCCGAGCATCAAGGCTTATTCCCCGACCTCTGCGGTCCGGACTTTTTATTCCAGGGGGTTGACCACCGCGAGAGCGCCACCGCTCGCGCCTTTGCTAAGCGTCTACCAAAAAAGCGGGCGCCCATGCCGAACAAAGCGCACTCACCATTTAGTTGCAACCACCGCGAGAGCGCCACCGCTCGCGCATTTGCTACGCGTCTGCCTAAAAAGCGGGCGCCCACGCCGAACAAAGCGCACTCACCATTTAATTGCAACCACCCCCTGGATTAAAAAGTCCGGATCGGCACTGCAGGCCCCCTTGCATCGTCGCTCCCCGAGAGGTAAACATGACTGGCAAGAAGTACCAGGCAGAATCGCAACTCTCAAGCAACATAACTGGGACCGGAAATTAATTTGGGAGGAAGTCCCAAGCGAAATCGCCAATTCCCGGGCGCCACTGAGAATTTCCGGTCGCCTGAAAAGCGTCCGGAATTTTTTTGGGAGGAAGTATTAGGCGGAATGCGGATTTCCGGTCGTCGCCCCACTCGGCGATTATAGTATTAGAGGGGGTGAGGACGGACCGGGAATTTAACCATGGCGGCCCCTGCAACATTGTACCGGGGCCCCGTGGTCTAACGGGAGCCGAGCATCAAGGCTTCTTCCCCGACCTCTGCGGTCCGGACTTTTTATTCCAGGGGGTTGACCACCGCGAGAGCGCCACCGCTCGCGCCTTTGCTAAGCGTCTACCAAAAAAGCGGGCGCCCACGCCGAACAAAGCGCACTCACCATTTAGTTGCAACCACCGCGAGAGCGCCACCGCTCGCGCATTTGCTACGCGTCTGCCTAAAAAGCGGGCGCCCATGCCGAACAAAGCGCAACCATTTTTAGTTGCAACCACCGCGAGAGCGCCACCGCTCGCGCATTTGCTACGCGTCTGCCTAAAAAGCGGGCGCCCACGCCGAACAAAGCGCACTCACCATTTAATTGCAACCACCCCCTGGATTAAAAAGTCCGGATCGGCACTGCAGGCCCCCTTGCATCGTCGCTCCCCGAGAGGTAAACATGACTGGCAAGAAGTACCAGGCAGAATCGCAACTCTCAAGCAACATAACTGGGACCGGAAATTAATTTGGGAGGAAGTCCCAAGCGAAATCGCCAATTTCCGGGCGCCACTGAGAATTTCCGGTCGCCTGAAAAGCGTCCGGAATTTTTTTGGGAGGAAGTATTAGGCGGAATGCGGATTTCCGGTCGTCGCCCCATTCGGCGATTATAGTATTAGAGGGGGTGAAGACGGACCGGAAATTTAACCATGGCGGCCCCTGCAACATTGTACCGGGGCCCCGTGGTCTAACGGGAGCCGAGCATCAAGGCTTCTTCCCCGACCTCTGCGGTCCGGACTTTTTATTCCAGGGGGTTGACCACCGCGAGAGCGCCACCGCTCGCGCCTTTGCTAAGCGTCGACCAAAACAGCGGGCGCCCACGCCGAACAAAGCGCACTCACCATTTAGTTGCAACCACCGCGAGAGCGCCACCGCTCGCGCCTTTGCTAAGCGTCTACCAAAAAAGCGGGCGCCCATGCCGAACAAAGCGCACTCACCATTTAGTTGCAACCACCGCGAGAGCGCCACCGCTCGCGCATTTGCTACGCGTCTGCCTAAAAAGCGGGCGCCCACGCCGAACAAAGCGCACTCACCATTTAATTGCAACCGCCCCCTGGATTAAAAAGTCCGGATCGGCACTGCAGGCCCCCTTGCATCGTCGCTCCCCGAGAGGTAAACATGACTGGCAAGAAGTACCAGGCAGAATCGCAACTCTCAAGCAACATAACTGGGACCGGAAATTAATTTGGGAGGAAGTCCCAAGCGAAATCGCCAATTTCCGGGCGCCACTGAGAATTTCCGGTCGCCTGAAAAGCGTCCGGAATTTTTTTGGGAGGAAGTATTAGGCGGAATGCGGATTTCCGGTCGTCGCCCCATTCGGCGATTATAGTATTAGAGGGGGTGAGGACGGACCGGAAATTTAACCATGGCGGCCCCTGCAACATTGTACCGGGGCCCCGTGGTCTAACGGGAGCCGAGCATCAAGGCTTCTTCCCCGACCTCTGCGGTCCGGACTTTTTATTCCAGGGGGTTGACCACCGCGAGAGCGCCACCGCTCGCGCCTTTGCTAAGCGTCGACCAAAACAGCGGGCGCCCACGCCGAACAAAGCGCACTCACCATTTAGTTGCAACCACCGCGAGAGCGCCACCGCTCGCGCCTTTGCTAAGCGTCTACCAAAAAAGCGGGCGCCCATGCCGAACAAAGCGCACTCACCATTTAGTTGCAACCACCGCGAGAGCGCCACCGCTCGCGCATTTGCTACGCGTCTGCCTAAAAAGCGGGCGCCCACGCCGAACAAAGCGCACTCACCATTTAATTGCAACCGCCCCCTGGATTAAAAAGTCCGGATCGGCACTGCAGGCCCCCTTGCATCGTCGCTCCCCGAGAGGTAAACATGACTGGCAAGAAGTACCAGGCAGAATCGCAACTCTCAAGCAACATAACTGGGACCGGAAATTAATTTGGGAGGAAGTCCCAAGCGAAATCGCCAATTTCCGGGCGCCACTGAGAATTTCCGGTCGCCTGAAAAGCGTCCGGAATTTTTTGGGGAGGAAGTATCAGGCGGAATGCGGATTTCCGGTCGTCGCCCCATTCGGCGATTATAGTATTAGAGGGGGTGAGGACGGACCGGAAATTGAACCATGGCGGCCCCTGCAACATTGTACCGGGGCCCCGTGGTCTAACGGGAGCCGAGCATCAAGGCTTCTTCCCCTACCTCTGCGGTCCGGACTTTTTATTCCAGGGGGTTGTATGTATTAGAAACTGCCCTGTATACATTTCGGGCCTGCCAAGATGGGTCCTTTCGCAGGGCACTGGCGGGTACAACTACACGGCCCTGGCGCCGTCGCCGGACACCGTGCTCCGGGAGCAGGACCGAGTGCTCGTGCTCGGCAGCAAGGGCTTCGGCAGGCACATGCACAGGATCGTCGGCACGTGGGATCGCAGGCCTAGAGGTTGACACCAACACCAAGATCGGCGGCGTTCCCCCACCGAGAGAAGAGAATCCCGATCTCGGTGATGGTGGTAATATTCTGGCTTCCAAGGTGACCGAAATATTACCACCAACACCGAATTCAAGGATCGTCTCCACCCTGTGGAGGCAGCCCCGTGTCTTGGTGTTGGTGCCCATTTCCAGGCCTCCAATGGGAGTGGGCGTGGCGAGGGGCGGGGGGATTCTACAGAGGGGTGCCGAACTGGCATGGCTTGCGCTGTCGTCGACGATGAGGCATCGATGTGCTGTTTCGTCTTTGGGGCGGTTCGGGATGTGCTATGGGCGATGTTGGGGCGGCTGCGGGACAGGAGCAGCCTGGTCACCCTCGCAGGAGGGGGCAGGGAGGTCCCCCCCCTCTCGCATGCCCACCTGGCTCCTCCGGAATACTCCCACGCGCCTCTTAGAGAGGCCCGATCCCTTCTGAGCGGCCACCCGCCTTCTTCGAAACCTCCTCTCTCGCCCCATCCCCGACAAAAATACGTCGAAATCCAGCCCCCGAACCTCTCCCTCCCGGAGTCCTCCCTGGCCAGCTTCGTGAGCCGCGTCCAGCGGGACGACCAGAAGCGCAAACATAGAACGACGACGCTATCATCGCCAAGGCCCCGTCTCCTTTTGCTCGCCGCCTACAGGAGAGGCCTCTTGCGGGAGAGCAGGCGAGGAGTGTGGTTCCCTCCGACGACGGAGGAGTGAGGGGCACACACCTGGCTTGTAGGTGGTAGTGCTGGCATCATCGCGTCACCGGCCGGCTCGCTGCCCTCGTCCACATTGCTGTGTGTGTTGCTTGTTCACCATCATCCTCTTCCTCCTCCTCATCGTCATCCTGATCGCCATCGTCATCATCATACCAGCGCGAATAAAAATCATAAGCATTAAGCTAAGAGTAGGCATCAACATCATCATCATGATCATCATCATCATCATCATCATCATCATCATCATCAGCAGCAGCAGCAGCAGCAGCATCATCATCATCGTCATCATCACGACCACCATCACCACCATCCGTAGCCATTTGGGCTCAAGACTTCAGGCCGAGACGAGCGGCTGGGTGCCTCGGCCCACCCGGATACTCTGACCGCCGATCCCCAATGACAGGCGTCATGGCCTGCAAGACCCTGATCCCGCAGCGATTGAGCTACGGCCCCGCCGGCAGTGCCGCGGGCGACCGGGTTCGCCTGGCGTTCGCCGACATCACCGCGCCGGAGTTCAGGGAGGGCCGCTACGAGGTCTGCCACTACGCGAGGGGGAGCCTGGGAGGCTGCACCGGCCCGCCGGCCATCGACCAGACGCTGTGGTTCTGCCATGAGCTGCACGTCCGGCTCCAGGGGGAGGGCAAGCCCGTCTTCGTCGAGTACGCGCCCGAGCAGCGCAAGAACGTTGCCGTGGTCGTCGGAGCCTACCTCGTGCTCGGCAGGGGCTGGTCCGCAAGGCAGGTGCGCGGCGTCCTGCCGGAGGACGCGGGCCTGGCCCTGCCGTGCTCGTGGGTGTCGACGAAGGCCTTGGCGACCAGCCACGGGGCACCCCGCATGACGGTGCAGGATTGCTGGGAGGGCGTGCAGATGGCCCGGGACCAGGGGTGGCTGCGGAAGGAGTCGGGGGCGGAAAAGAGGGGGGTAATGACTAGGGGGTGGTGGACATCATGGCGGGGGCCATGATGTTTCCCCACATTTCATGGCGCCTCTTCTCATTTCTTTTCGTCCCTGGCCCCCCCGCTGGGCCGCACACATGCCGCCGGTCATGATTTGCACCCCCCCCTTCTTGGACACCCCCCTCTTGGCCGCTCCCGAAGGAGGTCGTCGAGGATGGCGTCATGGCCTCCCTCGCAGCAAGCCTGTTCTGGAGGACGAGCTGCGAGTACGACGGTGCGTGGCTGGTGCCGGGCGTCTTCGTGATGGCAGACCCGATGACGACCATCATGGACCCCAACCCGCAGACGTGCAGCGCGTTCCGCCGGCCCAGCGGCGAAGGGCACCGACCCCACGGGGGCGCCGACCCCACGGCTGAGGAGGCCTACCTGCACGAGATCGAGGAGTTGGACCGTCCCCCTCCGCCGACACTCTCCTGCCCGGACCAGGACGAGACCTTCTTCGATGACGTGAAAGGCGCCAGCACCGGCGCCGTGCAGAGTCTCAGCACCACCAGCGGGGGTGTGCGTGACCGCGGTGACCTTCAGGTGCGGGAGAGCGACGACGAGTCCGAGGACAGGCTGTCGGAGGACAACTCGGTCCACACGGTGTGCAAGGCCTACGACACGGGGGCTCCGGGCAGCACGGGTTGCGACTTGAGGCCAGGCGCCAGGCCTTTCCTGGACTTCTTGCAAGAGGAGGGGATCGAGACGGTGCTGCGCGTCAACTTCTTGGACGAGCCGGGGCTGGCGGAGATCGGGGGGAGCTACGAGGCCAAGCTGGTGACCAATCATGGGATCCGGCACGAGGACGTCCCCGTCAGCGACTCCAAGAGCGAGTGCAAGGGCGCCGTTCCCCCCCGTGATGCCATCAGGCGCTTCATCAGCCTGGCCATGAACGACGGCCACGACGGCCCCAGAGGCGGTGCCGTCCTCGTCCACTGCAAGGGCGGCTTCGGCAGGAGCGTGTTCCTGGCCTGCCTCCTGGTGATCTACAGGCACGACGTGCCGGGCCGCAGCCTCCTCGGCTGGGCGCGCATCGCGCGCCCGGGGTCCATCACGACCCCGGAGCAGGAGGCGGCGCTGCGTGCGCTGTCGGGCCGCGCGGACCTCTGCAGGAGGTACGGCCTCCCTTGCGAGGCCGAGGGCGCCGCGGCGGGGGCGCAGGCCTGCTGCACGGTGAGCTAGAGGGGGACGTGCGCTCGGGGGGGGGGACGGGGGGCGGGGAACGCCGCAGAACGGCCAGGCCTCGGACGCCGTGGCCGAGGGATGGCTGGCCGCGCGCGGCGTGAGGAGGGAGAGCTGGCTGGTGGGAGGAGGAGGAGGAGGAGGAGGAGGAGGAGGAGGAGGAGGAGGAGGAGGAGGAGGAGGAGGTGGAGCATGAGGAGGAGGAGGAGGAGGAGAAGGAGGAGGAGGAGGAGGGAGGAGGAGGAGGAGGGCGGTGGCCCGAGCGTGCCAAGCGTGCCAGAGACAAGGCTGCGGCAGCAAGAGGTTGCCCCCCCCCCCGAGGTCGTTTTCACTAAACCACGTTTTACTAAAGGGGGGTCTGTCCATCCCTGAGCGAAGGTGTGCGCGGCGAGAGTCTGTCACCATGCTTCCCTTGCGCCCCCCATCAGACCATACGGCGCACGCGGGCTTCACTCGAGCCGACTGCCGGCGCCATCTACTGGTTCGGGGGCGCCTGGTTCGGGCAAGCGCTGATACACAGAGCCATGCGCCATGCAGCCATACGGAACCATTGAGTTGTGAGTGATGGAGATGCGCGCATGCGTATCGCGCGTCTCTCACGTTGAGAAGGCGGCATCTGAGGACTTGCTTTCGTGTCAGTGACTTGTTGCGACATGCCGGATGACTAGCCTCGTCCCAGCACCCTCCCGTACAGTGCCCCAGATTTTTTCGCAGAGCATAATATAGGGTTGCCGCCCCCCCTCCACGAGCAGCTCGCGGCGAAGCATTTTGAAGGCAACAGCCCCCTCGTGGAGGAAAAGGAGGAGGATCAAGGGGGAGCAAGGGGAGGATCTCAGCTGTTCTGCGGAGGCTTGTCCGTGTTTGTCGTGTGTTTCGCCACTGGGTGGCGGATCCTGCATCTGATGGCAGCTTAATCAGACTCAGAATCAGAATGGCAGCTTAATTGCTTTTGTGAATGCTTAATCCGTATCCTGCTTGCGGGACTCGGTTCCCGCGGGATTCAGAATTTGTCTTGCGGGGTCCGGTTCCTGCGGGATCGGACCCCCGCGGGATCCGAAACTCGCCGCTTCTCTTGTGGCGGTTCGTTGTGGCGAGCTTGTTTGTCACTTTGCTGCCAGTGCTCTTGCGGCTTTCTGCTCGCGTGCGCGCGAGGAGGATGGGGTACGCAGAGTGGGGCGGAGACGAGGCCGGGGAGAAGAAGAGGAGAACAGCTACGATGCGCGAGAGCCAGGCGCGGGTGTGAGGTTGGACGGTTGCTTTCGGTCTGTGGTGGACCGCTTTTGCCATGAATCGTTGCTTCATGTCGCCCCCGTCTTTACAGATGAAGTAAGGATGTTCGTGCATCGCGTGAGGTGAGTTCGCCTGTGCACGCGAATCGGGGGTGGACAGAACCCCCACACTGACACGTCAATTAGTGAATTGTCCGTTCTCGGTTCTCGAGAGGGCACCGCGGCCGTCATTTTCCAGGCTTGCGCCCGCCAGGTTTGGGCCCGAGGTCGTTTTCACTAAACAACGTTTTACTAAAGGGGGGTTCTGTCCATCCCTGAGCGAAGGTGTGCGCGGCGAGAGTCTGTCACCATGCTTCCCTTGCGCCCCCCATCAGACCAGACGGCGCACGCGGGCTTCACTCGAGCCGACTGCCGGCGCCATCTACTGGTTCGGGGGCGCCTGGTTCGGGCAAGCGCTGATACACAGAGCCATGCGCCATGGCAAGTTCTCTCCTCCTCCTCCTCCTCGTCTTCTTCCACCTGCCTCCTCCCGCCCTCGCCCCCCTCCTTGGCTCATCATCCTCCTCCTCACGCCAAGCCGCAGCGCAGAGTTCGACCTCAGTGCAGGAAACGCCTGCTGTTTTTCGCACGGCGCTGCGATCTCAGGGGTGCGACTCTCGGCACGGACAACACGTTTGAAGGGTGTATCTTTGTGCATTGTCACCGCCATTTAGCTGCCCAGGCTGTTTTTCACAATGTTTTCTGAAGCCATCGTGATGCACCGTACTGGAGTCCCAGAGCCGTCTTAGCATCGTCCGGGCATGGGGAAGTGCTGGTGAGGAGGGGAGGAAGGGGAGGATCGTGCGTTGCTCGGCCAGTCGGGCACTTCCTTGCAGAGCCATCTCGGGTTTCTCTCCCGGGGTGCGAAGCGCCTAGTGCGGACACAACAGCCCGATGGACCCCTGGCCAGGACACGCGCTGGAAGATTGCGGCGCGGGCTCGGCGCGCGCGACACCGTCGCGGGCACAAAAAAACACCATCACCACCACCATCAGGCTCATCATCATCAGCATCATCACCATCATCACAATCACCACCGTCATCATCAACATCATCTTCGTCATCATCGCCATCATCGTCATCATCATCATGATCATCACGCTCATCAGTATATCATCATCATCACCATCATCATCACCGTAATCATCAGCAGCATAACCATCATCATGACCATCGTTACCACTATCACCATCACCACCATCACCATCACCATCATCATCACCATCATCCGCATGAGCGTCATGAGCGTCATCATCGTTATCATCATCGTCGTCATCCTCGTCAGCATCACCAGCATTATCATCATCGTCATCCGCATCGCCATCCTCATCGTCATCATCAGTATCGCCATGAACATCTACATCATCATCATCATCATCATCATCATCATCATCATCACCATCATCATCATCATCATCATCATCATCATCATCATCATCATCATCGTCATCTACCATCACCACCATCAGCATCATCAACATCAGCATCAGCATCAGTACCACCAGCATTAGCATTATAATCGCCATCGTTATCATCATCGCCAGCAGCAGCATCATCATAATCACCATCATCCTTGTCGTTGCCGTCAGCAGCAGCATCTACATCAGCATCATCAGCATCAGCCTCCGCTGCCCCTGTTTCCTCCGACCCCCTCCCCCCGTTCCCAGCGCAACCGTAGCCCCGCCGGCGCTCGACGTCGCCAGATGCTTGTTGTCGTCCACGTTGGGGGACAATCGCCACCATCATCGTCAACATTATCGTCCGTAGCTGTTTTTCCTTAGCTGGGCTCACAAAGTGTTGTGTTGCGCACTCTTCGTGGATGGCGCACGGGGGGGGGCGCCCGATGGAGGCAGGCAACGGCCGGGCGCCGTGGGAACCCCAGCGCGCCCAGAAGCAGTCTGAGCTGAGCCGTGAGGGCCTGGCGTGGCTGCAACGGCGGCAGCCGGAGGAGGCCTCGAGGCTGTGACGGCGCTCGATCGGGGCGCCACGATCAGAGGAAGTGCTGCGGCGGCGCCTGGCTTCGAGGCCCTGGCCCAGCAGAGGCGGCTGGGCTGCCCGCGGGCACCGCCCAAGTCCCTTCCCCACCTCCCAAGTGCCTTCCCTGGGCTGCCCGCAGGCACCTCCCAAGTGCCTTTCCTGGGCTGCCCGCGGGCACCTCCCAAGTGCCTTTCCTGGGCTGCCCGCAGGCACCTCTCCAGCGTTTTTCCCAAGCGCCGCAGGCACCTCCCTGCCAGGCGCGGGCTGCGCAGACAACGCACGGCGACGCGGGACCCGCTTGGGGGAGGCGCTGGAACAGCAGCTGCCGGAGCTGGCGGCCGCGCCGGAACGCCTCCTCGCCATCCGTTCCAGGGCGGAGGCTAACGCGCCCACGGCTGCTCCGAGGGCCTGGCCCGCCGCGCTGGCAGAGGGCCCAGGGCTTCCGCGGACGGGCGTCGGTCGACGCGCGGCGCTGGCCGACCGCCGTGCCAGGGCGGAGGCCCATGAGCAGCACGAGGAGGAACAGGCGCAGGCGGATCACGAGCCCGAAGCGCTGCACGGCAAGCGCCAGCAACATGACTCGGAGCGCTAGCGGCACGTCTGTAAGAGAGAGGCCAAGGACCCGAGCGAGGACCTCTAAGAGCAGCGCGACGAGGACCAACAGCACGCTTCCGAGGTGCAGCGCGACCGGCACAAGCAGCAGAATCCCGAGGTCCAGCGGCAAGACGCCGAGAGCGAGGCACAGGATCAGAGCGAAGAACGCCCACAGCTGGGCAACGAAAACCACGCAGCAGCTCGAGTCCGACGAGCCGCACGACGGGCACCTGCAGCGCGGCCAGGAAGAGCAGCCCCCTGCGGCCAAGGGCGCGCCGATGGCCGCCGCCGCGGGGTCCCGCGGGGCGTTGCCCGCGCGGGCAGCTCCCCTGCCAGCAGCAAGCGAGGGCACGCGTCCTCGCGCGGCGGAGGCTGCCGAGCCAGCACCCCCCCCGTCGGCGACAGCGCGGCAAGTGGCCTCGACCTCGCGGACGGGCCCTCGACCTTGGCAGCGCGCGCTCGCGGGCAGCAGTGCCCAACGAAGAAGGCGCTGGCCGCGGGCTCCCGGCGGCGGCGGGCGGGCGCCGCGCGCGCGGTTCTGGCCCCAGACGGGCACGAAGGCAGCGGCGAGGAGGAGCACGAGGGCAACGACCCTGGAGGGCGAGGCAAGGACTGCGATCTAAGCGAGGGACTGCGGGACACCCAGGCCGACGCGATTACCGACGCCAACAAGCCGCGGCGGCAACAAAGTGCGCGACGAGGGGGACACGCACGCGCCGCCCGCCGAGCACGATGGGCCCTGTCAGCCTGGCGATGACCTGTAGTGCGACGCCGCGGCCACTGCCCGCGCCATGGAGGCCTTGCGCCAGCTGCGGCGCCTCGCTCGTCCTAGACAAGACAGGGCCGGCGACGCGGGGGCGAAGGAGCTCCATACAGCAACGTTCGCCTGGGCCGAGCGCCTGGAGGCCCAACTCGAGGAACGGGGCCCTGGGCGCACTGCGGCCCGACCCTGCCGCAGCGGCGCGACGCGCCGTTGGCCGCGCCTGGCGCGGGGGGGGGCCGAGCGCGACGCCCTGCGCGACGCGGCGCGGGCTTTTCGCGCCGAGCGACGGCCTGAGCTGGCTGCGAGAGCGCGGCGGGCCGCGGCGGCAGAGCGCGCGGGCGATGGCATCGGCGGCGGGCCGCGCGCCCCCGCGCTCAGCGCGGCCTCTGCCCCAGGCGCGACCAGGCCACGGACGCCGCGCATTGTGGGGGGCCCGGGGGCAGACCCAGCAGCGCGGCAGAATTGGCGACGGCTGCGCGGGGACCGCCAGTCCCCGACCCCAGGACGGCTGCATCACGAGAGGGCCTCAATGCCTCGGAGGGCCCTTCCGTTCTTTTGTCTGACCAGCGCTCAGCGGGCGAAGCGGCGGCTGGCGCACCGGCAAGGCACCGATTATAATAATGTGTCGGGCACCTCCCGCGCGGCTGGAGCCAGGAACGACCCGTCGGCGCGAGGAGTCGCCCATCCCGGGGTCGGGCCCGCGCAGAGGGGGGCCGGGTCTAAGACCGCGCGGCTTCGCACGCGAAGCTCTCGGGCGCCGTCGGCGGACGTGGCCGGCGGGGCCGGCGGCGGCGCGGGCGCCGCCGCGCGGCGCGAGGCGCTCGAGGGGGGCGGCCGCGGCCACGTCGCGGCGCCGCGCGGTGCGCGCGCCCCCGCGGCAGCGCGCCCGCGCGCGCCCCCCCCGCCGTCGGCGGCGCGACGCGCTTGATGCGCGTCTCATAGCGTCCTCGCCACCAGGATTACCACGATCGCAGTTTGACTGGTTCCCGACGCGCGACCGTTCTTGGGTGCTCTTGTCTCGAGCGCGGGGAGGGCTCGCGGGCCGCGCAGCTTCGGGTGGGAAATTTAAGTTTGCACGCTGTCCCGCGCGCCCATCTGGCCCTCCGCGCCCCGCGCGCTCGTCGGCGCGCCCCGCGGCGGCGCCGCGCCCGCGGTGCTCGCCACAGTGCGCCGCGACCCCGCCGCGCGCGGAGGCGGCGGCGCCCGCGTGCCCGGCGCCCGCCCCATGCCGGGCGCACGGCCGCCAGCCATGCGCCCCGCGAGTGGGCGCGGAGCCTGCGCCTGCGGGCGCCGCAGCCCAGCGGGCCGTGACGTCCGGGCCATGGCGCCCGGGGGGTCGGGCGGGCGGCCCGCTGGGCTGCCTCGCCACCGCGGTGCGCGCGGCCTGCTCGCCCTCGTCGGCCCCGCCATAGCGGGCCACGGCGGCGGCGGCGCCGACGCGCCGGGCGCGCGTCTTCAACGCGGGCGAGGCGGCGCGGCACCGGCACTTCAATCTGGGTCGGGTTGCCTTATCGGAGACTGACTGCGCCATCTACGCAGATGACGGCGACGCGCGTGCTGCGTCGACCAACGCCGCGGATGCGCAAGCGGCTCGGTTCGACAGCGTCGAACCCCCGCCAGGCGAACCAGGCGCGCCAGTTCCGCGCGGAGCCCACGGGCGCGGAGGCCGACCAGCTGTCGGGCGAGGCAAAGCAGATTGCAGCGACGAAGCGCCGCAGGCGGGACGAGGGCATTGGCAATCTCGCGCCGATGATCAACCTGCGGTTGCTCGCCGCGTCGGGCGGGGCGGCCGGCGCGGGGCCCGCGGCCGCCGCGGGCCCGGCTGCCGGACGCGGCGCGGCCGCGGCCGACCCCGCGGGAGCGCGCGGCGGCGACGAGGTCCCAGGCCATGTCCTGATCGCGGCGCGGGCGAGGGGCCGCGTCCGCCGCTCGCTGCCCCACGGCTAGGCTCTCTTCGTGGAGCTCGTGCCGCCGACGGGCCCGGATGCGTTCCCGGGGGGGTCGGCGGGCGCCGACGCGGCGTTGATCTCGACCATGCACCCCGAAGGGCGCCCGGGGCCAGGCCGCTGCGACCTGCCGCGGCCCGCGCGGTGGAGATGACGCGCCAAGAGGACTTTGCCAGGGACTGGACGTCGCCGGGCCCTCGCGCGGCGGTCCGGCGCGCGAGCTATCGGCGCGAGGCGCCCGGGCGTCGAGGGCCATCGCGAGCACCTCCGCCGCGCGCGCAAGTTGAGCGCCGCCGACTGGGGGGGGGCAGGAGCATTGCCAGCCCCCGCAGCAGATGAAAGCTGCGACACGTGAAAGCTGCGACACGTCAGGGCCAGTTGGGTGGCGCGGGTTTGGCGCGCGTGGAGACGCAGCTTCGCCTGCCCCAGACAATCGAGTTCGCCCGCGCCGGCGCGGCCAGGGGCGCTGAGAGCATGGGCGCCGGAGGTAAGATGGGCACCGAGGAGCAGGCAGCGTTCTCAGGCATTTCACGCGGCACCTCGCCCGCGATCGGCGCGCTTGACCTGATCGAGCACGTTCGCAGCGACGCGGGGGGGGGGGGGGGGCAAAGTAGCACGAGAGTCTGCGTCTCGCGCGCGATGGGCGCGAGCCCAGGCGCAAGCATGACTCCATTCTGGCGGCGCGCTGCTGTCGGAGGGGGTG